TGAAAGAGACGGAGAGATCGCTTTAGACGACTTGTATCTAGCTTACTATAACATAAGTGTTTTGGGAATGTATGTACGTATGTTTTTGTAAATGTAAATAAACAATGTTAAGGTGTCCAAAAATAATTAAAAACACTATTTTGTCTCTGATGAAATGCGAATAAATACAAATGTATTTCTTGTGTATTCTTTTATTGTTTTGTCGTCGGTCCGTTCTGTAAGTGCTGCGGGGACCACACCCGGAGTCGATCTCTTGGTTTAAAGTGCAAAGCGCTAGGAGCAGATGCGCAATAGGGCGCACCGCCCCCGTGTGTCCCCCGGTGGCCCCTCATTTGTCCCCTATAACCCCGGCTTCGTAGCGTTAAGTGTCGTCTAGAGCAGTCGAGCCGCGACACTTGCTGATACGTTATATTGATCTGAGGCGTCCTGGGAGCACAGCTTCTCTGCGGTACATATACAAATGTCTACTAGGTGTGCAGTGTGTAACTACGTATAGTCAATAATGATATATAATAAACGTTCCTAGACCCGCCCTTTTCAGCCGCGTAGCCCCCCGCCCTCCGCCCCCCTCTATCATGTCGCGTATATTATTGTCCGATGTTGTATGTTATAACTCAATACCGCGTGTGGTGTGCGAGACCATTGCAATAAACAAACACCTCATCCTCAATAGAGAAGATGATTTGCGCTTAGTTCTCACCAGGAATCCCTCTTATCGTGTAGATCAGTGGCTCCCAAACTTATTTTGTCTACTGCCCACTTTGAGAATAAATTATTTTTAGCGCCCCCCATTTTTGTCACCTACTTATAAACCACTATAGCGAGAGCTCAGTCGGTGTCAAGGATTCTCCTAGATGAAATTACAAATTGCCTCTCAAGTCTCTACACAATCGCCCCCATTTTTTCTTCTGGGTCTCTTACCGCCCCCTTTAGGACTGCAGCGCCCACAACGGGGCGTTATCGCCCATTTTGGGAAAGGCTGGTGTATATGAAACCCCAAGTCGAGAAATCGCCAGACCTACAGATACGGGTAGTTTTTTCTGTCCGAAGCAAAGTTAATGTCTATAGTGGTATCCTAATATCAGTCTCTGTTTAGTGTTGTAGAAAAAAATATGATATATATTTGATCCCCCCATCTCCTTTTTACCATCGCACCTCCCGCCATCGGCGCAGAGTTCATCCATATTATCTGGAACCACTGCGTTCATCGACAGTGCGTTTCCAAGATTCTTTTTTGCCACGTACCATCCGGCTTTGGAATGAACACCCCTCCACGATATTTTCCGAGCGCTATGACATCATTCTTCAAACGAGGCTTGCGGAGAGTACTTAACGGTAGACAGCGGCTTGGCTCTGCCCCTGGCATTGCTGACGTCCACGAGCGACGGTGACTACTTACCATCAGGCGGGCCGTATGCTCGTCTGCTTACAAAGGCAATTAAAAAAACGACGACTGCCTATTTTCGGGCAATTCACTCGCGAATGGCAATTTCGATACAAGTTTGTGTGTCCGCACGTCCCAGACTACAACATGTGCCTCCGGTCTAACAGGTCTGGCAATGTTACCCGCCCGGCGGAACCTTGCCTTTGTCGTTTCGCCCATATGTCAAATGTCAAGCTAAGATGTCGGGCCAAAGCCGCCTTTATAAGTACCATCGTTCCGTTAAATGTCCAGTCGTGGCCCGACGCTGGGTACCTCTGTGCCGAGGACCACAGAGCTTTCTTGTGCTTAAATATATCACAAGCCGCCCACTGTAGTGTCGCAACGCGGCCGCCGCCACTTATTGTAGACTTATAGAGGCTACAACAAAAATATTGGAAACTAATCTTAAGGGTGAACGGTCACACAGACCGGCTCGGAGAGGAGAGCAAACTTTTATCATATTGGAATCAGAGTTTTGAGTAATTGTAATAAAGTACATTGTTGTGTTCTACTTTTTTCCCGCGGTGCACATGCTATTTTTTGTCCTACCATGCCGATAGTTCGTGGAGTACCGAGCCGGGGTCCAGGTGCGAAGCCCTGACGGGGAATACAAAAACAATTGAACTTTTTATGTAATTTTTAAATAAACTACTACTAATTGAATAATAACTGTCTGATGAACTCATCTTTTTTTTTAATATTAAATTTTATTGCCTTTTGTTTATTTCACTTTTACACTAAACACAATATTGCGAATTACCCGAGCACAACAATGGCGGAGAACTTTAGGTGCGTGAGAGCAGACGTAGACACTAACGCGCATGCGCAATTGTCAGTACCCAGGGAGGAAAAGTTACACTTTCTTCCCTGTACAGCGGCAGGAAAACCGAACTTTCGGCGTCGGTAGGAGAAAAAAGTTTACTTTTACATGTGCACTTTTTTGTCATCAAGAATGCTTGAACGCTTTACGTTTGAGATAATAAGAGCAGGCCGACTCCGATTGAGTGCGCATCCGCTGTCAGATCTCTTCCAGCCTGTCGATGTGAAATAATTGGGAGCTCTGCTTCGGTCTGTGTGGAAAAAAAAGTGTGTGTCTGTGTGAACGGACTTAAACCAGTCAGTCTAGTAATTCGACAAAAGCTGTGCGCTTTCACAAGATAAAATATCTTCTGCGCTTTTCGACTCGGTTCGCTAAAATTTGGTCAATTTTTAGCACATTCGCGCGCAACTGTCGCTACGATATAGCGCACTCCGCTATGTCCTAAGAGATACAGTCGAGTCAACCAGACCGAGTCCGGCCGTCAGTCAATACAATACGATATAGAAACCCACAGACACAGCCCACTGTTTCTCGCCGGATCTTCTCAGTGGGTCGCGTTTCCGATCCGGTGCTAGATTCCGCGAAGCACGGCTCTTGCTAGGGTTCGTGTTAGCAACGCCGTCAGGTTTGGACCCCGTAAGCTCACCTATTAGTTAAGGTTACGCTGAAATAGCCTCTCAAGGCTATCAGCTTAGGTAAAAAAAAAACAAGGTATAGAAACAATAGAAGCTGCGGAGTATATCCCGAGTTGTCGACAACAAACACGCCAGTGAGTGATGTGATCTATCGCTTGGGGCGCGTTCAATATTTGCTGCACTCACAGGTAGTTTTCCAATTACAGCACAAGAGCGCATTATGCGGCATAATGCTCAACTAAGCTTCAGCATAATGCGACCCAGTGATTGTAAGTAAGTAATTGGAAAACTACCACAGTATATTTACCTAACTCCATCGATGGTTATAAGGAGCTGCTCGCGACTTCGCGTGGAATAGTTACTTTGGCATAACGCTAAATTTTATCCGCCTCTTCATTTGCGTACTTAACTTAAACTTTAACCGTATCCGCAGCGCTCGCAGTGCAAGTTCTCAAAAATGAATTAAAACCCCGATTTTGAAACATTCTTTATTGGTGCTCCGCTTGTATTGGTCTTAGCGTGATGTTACATAGCCTATAGCAGCCCTCCTCGGTAATTGGGCTATCTAACACTGAAAGAATTTTTCAAATCGGACCAGTAGTTCCTGAGATTAGCGCGTTCAAACAAACAAACTCTTCAGCTTTATAATATTAATAGTATAGATAACGAAATCCCAACATCATTTGTTAATGAAAACGGGAATAAAAATGACTGCTATTTCATCGGCGCCAATCAAATTTATATTCTTAGACCATAGTCTGCTATGTTAATGCTATTGACAGGGCTGCCTTTACTTATCGAGGTCCCCGGCGCTAGCAGCAAGGTCCTATTGGACTAGTTTGGGACGAACACTGGGTCCGATCCCTGGCCATTCCCATATTGAACCATAGTTCGTATTGTTGATTAGTGATCTGGCGGGACTGTCGATGGACATCGGCAAGGACTTGATCAGGGGCCAGTCTGATAAAGTATTCGTGTGACCCAGAGAACAAAAGTCGGTTACTGCGTGTCCTGTCCGAGACGATGATTAGATCTTTCTAACGATGTAGAAGATACACGTGTCGTCCATGTACACCCTAGACAGCGGAACTGTAGTAACTAACTCATTGTGTATTTTAAAAGCGTGCCAAACTCGTTGTAAGATTATTGTGTCTTATTTACTGGTATATAGTTTAATAATAACCTTTTTTGGCAATTTTGGGTGGGTGACCAGCAAAATTCCAGAAGACAATATCCGGCATTGTATGCTTTTCGAGTTCCGCAAGGATGGTAACACAATAGTTGCGATGTTTATCAAAATGCATTAGACGTTCAGAAATGCCAAAGGTGATTTTACAAGCTTAGATCTGAAAGCCCACCTCTAGACCACGGCTTGTCAATCCATGTCAAACAGTCGAGGAACTGTCAAGCGCCCTGGACGAACCTTGGTTGTTCATCCCGGAACATTTATAGCATATTAGAAAAATAAGGAGAATCGGTCTTTAGATCCCCCATAATCTATTTGAAGAGAAGAAAGGCAAGCGGTTTATCGCAAGTTGCTTCAACGACACCACACAACCGCGTTTTGATCGTTCGATGGCTGGAGGCGGAAAAGCACCTCTATGTGGTATTCATGACGCAAAAGGCAGTGTCTCCCTCCAAATAAATCACCACCAAGTACTGCGAAGCCGGGTTTACGTCCCAAAAAGGCGCTCCCTTGTGTTTGGTTGAATATAACAACTAAACAAACTGAACAATTAGATCGAGTGAACTATATTTAATCGGAAAGTGTCCAGAGAAGGGGCGTCATTCTGCAACACGACAACGCAGGCCCGCACTGTGCAAGGCGAATACTGGGAAAACATGAATTGGGATGAGAGGTACTGCCTCATCCGCCATACTCGTCCGGTGTCACACCCTCGGATTTCCGTTTATTAAAATCTCTACAATATTTTTTTGTTGTAAAATTTTTTATGATGTCCAAAATGTCATTACCGGTTTGATATTGAAAATGGACACAGTAGAGGGTGATTATATTATTAATTTAAAATACAAGACCTATTAAAAAATATTCGTTTGAATGTAATGAAGAAATAACCATTATTTTCCGGTCCCCCTAATGCTATCGTTATCCCTGACGCAGCCAAAGCAGGAACCGCCGCCGGCCGAACCCGCGGTGGAAGCCGGGAACACAGGGGAGGGCGCGGGGGGCGAGGGCTCGGCGCCGACAGTGGACGAGGAGGCCGCGGCCCGGGAGCGCGAGGCCCGCGCCGCCGCCTCCATCAAGGAGAGGGAGAGGCAGGTGCAGCGAGCCCTCGCCACCAGCCTCCGGGACCGGGACAAGGAGAGACAGTACCACAAGCGAGACGAGGCCGTACAGGTAATCGGTACACTTGTAACTTTGTTGATACGACTGTAGCGCCCACAGACTCGACCTCACGGTGGGCTGGTCCCTAGCGATGTGCCCTCCAGGTCAACAGTTCTAGCAGCGTTCGGTGTTACAATCACTTTGAAGCACACTAGCTCCTAAAACACCCATAATCCTTTAGAGAGTAAAGCGGTACTACACGCTTGGGCAAAGACTTTTGTTTCACAAACCACAAGACCGGCCTCGCGTGGAGCACTGCTCTCGTCTCTGGGCCTGGGGTCCCAAATACCAGATACTACCAACAAAAGAGGGCCGTCCGGATTGTCGATAATCCAAATCTCACAGAGCACTTGGGACCTCTGCGGAGGGACTTCGGTTCTCTCTGTGTTTCGTACCGAATGTATGGGAAGTGCTCTGAGGAATTTTTGGAGATGACTTCTTCATTTCCTTTTAACCTAGCGCGTTTCCAGACATATTCAGAGATCACTGTACCCCCCCTGGCACTACTGAAGCCCGTGAACGACAGTAACCACTCACCATTAGATGGGCCGTATGCTCGTGCGCCTTCAGAGGCAACAAATAAAAGCGCGAACCTGTAGCTGCGACTGGTCTCATGCAACGTGACGAATCGTCTTACAGCACTTTAACGCTCTACTGGCGGATCTCGTCCGGAACCCGGACCTGACGTGGCGCGAAGCCAAGAAACAACTGAAGAAGGACCACCGCTTCGGACTCGCCGAGCTGCTCGCCAAGGAGGACAAGGTATCAGCCACGTCGACCCTCGCATGTCGACCCTCGAGCAGGCGAGTCCACTAGCGATGATCATGTTTTGTTTTTTTAGGAGCGTTTATTCAGTCAGCACACGAACAACTTGGCGTCGAAGAGACGAGACAAGCTTCGGGGGATCCTGACGGAGCTCGGGGTGTCCTGCACGGCCGCGTGGAAGGAAGTGAAGGAGACGCTCAGCAGCGACCCCACCACCCCCGCCTACGCCAGCGCCACGCAGGTACGCACATGCTGTCCGAGGGCATATCCATAGTCTGCCAAGCCTCCTTAGTAAAAGAAGCGCGGTCATTGACCTCTCCCTCTGTCAGGACTGTTTGTTCGTTGAGCAGTGCATGCACGGAACAACTTGGTTATAGACGACTCTAGTGACTGTGTGTCGGCAGATGGAGCGCGAGTTCCGCGACTACCAACGCGACAAGCAGAGCGCCGCCAAGACCGCGCTGCGCCAGCTGCTGCTCGAGACGCGCTCCCTCACGCACCGCACGCGCGCGCAGCTGCGGGACCACACGCATGTGCACGACGCGCTCGCGCACGACGCCAGGTACGCACCCCCCCTCCCCCCACTCACAGCACGCGCGCGCAGCTGCGGGACCACGCGCACGTGCACGACGCGCTCGCGCACGACGCCAGGTACGCACCCCCCCCCTCCCCCCACTCACAGCACGCGCGCGCAGCTGCGGGACCACGCGCACGTGCACGACGCGCTCCGCGCACGACGCCAGGTAACGCACCCCCCCTCACCCCACTCACAGCACGCGCGCGCAGCTGCGGGACCACGCGCACGTACACGACGCGCTCGCGCACGACGCCAGGTACGCACCCCCCCCCTCCCCCCACTCACAGCACGCGCGCGCAGCTGCGGGACCACGCGCATGTGCACGACGCGCTCGCGCACGACGCCAGGTACGCACCCCCCCCCTCCCCCCACTCACAGCACGCGCGCGCAGCTGCGGGACCACGCGCATGTGC